CATAGTTAACGAAGAAAGTGATATTCTTCAATGTGTTCCCCTGACATGCGAGATATTTCTCAAGGCAGGTAATATTACTTGTCGCCGTTATCAGCATATCTCCAACTCCGATACTGTAATCTGGAGCTCTTTGTCACCAGCCACCTCACTTGAACTTGATTGTAGACCACTTTAACCAAATTTTATTCATGCCAGATTCATCAAGACGCATATCATCGGATCCACCACCAAAACCTCCGGATGCCATCCCCCGCCATGGCTCCCCGGACTCTTCAAGGAAGGTTGTGGTCGTGGGTGGGTGCTTGTCAGATTGGATCTGACGCCAGTCAATCAGCTGCGTTGCGTTACTTTGCCCTGACCAGCCGAGGTGATGCAGACTACAAGACGTTCATGTGGCATGTGTTAATGACAGGATGGATATCCGCATGCCCTTGTTCTTCTCGGTCAAACAGCATTCTGAACCAATCTTGTTGGTCTGTATCCCTCAGGTCTTGACTTTATTCAAACATAGCCACTCTAGGTCTTCTTGGCGTGTAATTTTGCGTGCATATGGACGCCACCATTAGAAAAGCCAAGCATTCATTAGGTTACCCCATATTTAAGCTTGCTCACAGCCAAGACTGGGCGGTGGTCAGGTGTTGCTGGTGAAGAGGGGCAGGCCAGACGATGTCTGTTTTTGTGATAAAGAAGGTTGCCGAATAGTCTACATTGCTTGAAACCCCTGCCTGTCTTGAGTCAATAAGCGTCTATAGTAACTCTTGAGTGCAACTTCACAATGCCTGTCAGGATGGTTGAATGACAAGAGGCCCGCTGACTAACAAAATTGTACAACCACTTAGTGCTTCTGTTGATTGACGATACCAAAGGACCTCGAAAGTTGACGAAACAAAGTAGAAACAAAGCTGAGCCATGAACTTAAAGACCCCATGATGAAACCAAAAAGATACCAACAACCTGAAGGAATTCATGGTCCTACCTTCAAAGTGTCATAGCAAACAAAAGCCATGCGGTGAGTGTCATGATACAAGACGGAGAGTCTGATCATAAGGCTTTGTTCTTAATCTTGATTCTTCCATGAGACAATTTAGTTATAGTGAGCTTCGTTTCAATAATGGAAAGCCTCTTTAAGCTAAGGAGGCCTTGATGTAACTTGAGGGTGAAACTATCCGCTCATGAGAGAGATTTTGATCAAGATAAGTGAGATTCACTCATTTACTCAATTCGTTCTGCCAACCCTGGCCTTTGATCTGTCACCTATCAGGGTATGCGATAGATTGTGGTCAAGAAATATTGCATATGTTCTTCATTGCTTATTGCTTCTTGGACCCTGTTTTTAGCGTCTTTGCAGATCTGTCACCAAACTTTTGTGATGATTCAGGGGTATTACTACCTAAGGTTGTGACTACTGCCGCCACAATCTTCCAATAAGGACTGGCTTGTCTCATGCAACTGAGCCCGTTTATCGCAGGGCAATCTATCTTGCATCAATATCCATTGCATTGTCACCGCAATGGAAGCATCACAGGCATTAATTACAAATGCGCTTAATTACAATGCAGCACAGAAAATACTAATTAAAGAATGTCGTAAACAAAAAGCCACTTGCCTACTTTATCAATACTTTAGTTACTCAGTATTTCGCCTACAAGACACGCGTACCTAGAGGCGGGTCAATTGAGCGATTTAAAGCCGTTCATTGGTCGCCGTAATGTTGGAATGGGAGCTCTCAGGGGCAGAATGACCCAAAATTACATCGGAAATGGGGCTTCCGCTTCACTTGACGAAGAACTAAAAGCTAAAACTCGAGCGTCTCGCCTCGTGTTTCTGTTTCTTGTGTTTGCTGGAGACTGGAATCTGGTGTTCAATTCCTTCTTCAACATCTCATATTTGACATATAAACCCAAAAGACTGTCACACAGCTCATCTCATTATGGTGGTCCGCAGAAGCACTGAGCGCTCCAACGACTGGCTAAAGCCCGTCGACGATGATGAAGATGACGGCTTCCTCGGCTTGGCAGAGGATGGAGATGCTGAATCAAAGGGAATCCTCGATGAGGGGAACAGATCGACGCTTAACTTGACGACTTCTGAGCTTCCCGTGTATATGACAATTCACCGGTAACCTTGACCCAATCCCTGCGGAGCCACAAGAGCCTGTTCAGTCTCCATGGTGAGCCATTGTATAAGCCCACCTCGGAAACTGTCCTCTCTGGTGTGAGATATCAGTGTGCTAACATTTCTTGAGTGCAGAGTCCGGCGTTTAGTCCTTGCGAGTATCGGTAAGTCTCATCCCTTGGACTATCATGAATATTGTAGCTAACAACGCACAAAGATGACCCTTATACTATGGAACACTTTAGAGATCCAAAGATGAATGCTCTTGTTGTAAGACCATTGGTTGAAAGACTTTATAACCCAGACGATATCTCGGTTGGTAAGTTGGCCAGACAGAATCTCTCTTCCAATTTTCCCAGACTTACCGCTCTTTAGTCTACTGTCTATTGGCAAACCGTGTCTCTTTCCTAAGAGACCAATCTGCAGAAGTTCATCAAAGTGTTAACCAAGCTCGTGCGATCCTGTGCGAGCTACTTGCCAGTCGAGTCCTCCGTCGTTTCCATGAGGATAACCCAGGACCCCAAGGCCTTTTGCTGCTATCCCATATCCTCGTCGAGGGGTTCGATCCATTCCAGGGGGCCCCTAGTCACATGGAGCGGCCAGCCAACCGTCCTCAGTGGCCTGGAGCTTCTCAAGATAGCCCTGGATCTGAGAGAAAGCTTACGGCACTGGAGTTAGCAATCGTCTCAGAAAGCAAGTTCTTCATTAGCTCTGCGGCCTGTCAGCGAGCTGTCGACGCTGTTCATAATGGACAGATCATCTATACACCACTATCGTTCATGGATTTCCTTCCGGATTACTACAAACGACGACCTATCTCACTTTATGATCCTCGAACCGCACCCCTGCTAAATCACCACCGTCTCATCGTCCCTCGCAACCGAAATCTGATCGAACTTGTCCATTTTATTATTCTTCTGGTCTTGTATGTCATGACCATGGTCTCACGCCACTCTGAAGTCAACATGTGGGAGTTTGCCTTTTGTATCTACACCTTCGGCTGGCTCCTTGAGAAGATGGCCGCCATTATCGAGCACGGCTGGGCAGTCCACGCCCAAAATCTATGGGCCTTTTTGGATATTACATTCGGTTCTATCTTTGGTGCCTACTTCATTCTCCGCATCTACGATTTTCTGCTCGATCAGCTTCACTCCGGCTATGGATTACCGATATTGTGTATTGCAGCGCCTGTTATGTTGACTCGAGTCGCTTTCAACCTGCTGCCTAACAACTTGGTCTTCATCTCAGTTCACGCCATGATGAAGGACTTTACCATGTTGACGTTTCTCGCTACTTGGTGTTTCACTGGCTTTCTACTTGCTTTGCAGTGGCTTGTTAGTGCTAGCAACGATGGCGATGAGGAGTTCAGTTGGTATGTCGTGGGCAAGTGGATGCTTTGGATCTGGTTCGGTCTTGATGGTGAAGGAATCGAGGAGTCAGTGCGTTTCCACATTATCATCGGTCCTGCACTCATGATTGCCTTTGCGTTCCTCGGCAACACACTCTTCCTCACTATCCTTATCGCTATGCTTACAAACACTTTCTCCAAGATTGTGGCCGACGAAACCGCTGAGATTCAGTTCCGACGCGCTGTCTTGACATTTGAAGGTGTCAAGAGCGACTCAATCTTTGCCTACCCTCCCCCTTTCAATATTTTGGCTCTCATGACGCTTCTACCCCTGAAGCTTGTCACCTCAGCCCGAATCTTCCATATTGTGAATGTAGCTCTGATTCGAACTCTCAACATGCCTACTCTTCTCCTCATCAGCTTTGTGGAGCGACGCCGTCTTTGGATGCAGTCCAGACGTGCTGCCGGCAAGAGATCCAAGTGGCAATTCACTTCCCTATCGCCTCACAACGATGTCCAGGCTGTTTTCAAGTCTGTCCCGCCAACCGAAATCTCCGACATCATCGATCAACTCGACCCCTTGGGGGAAGTCCCTATTCTTGAGGACGATCTGATGCCGACAATGACAGCCGATAACTCACAGTCCAAGTTGAGACGAGTCAGGATGTTGCAGCGAGAGGGACACCGACGAACAGGCGGAAACGAAGAAACATGGAGTAGCGCAAGTAGCGTTCAGGATGAGTAACTTGATATTGATAATTAGAACTATGAAGCATTGTAACGGCGAAATGGATATGGTGGATTTGAGGTATGGCATATATTTGTGTACACGGTTGATGGTTTTTCTAGACGAGTAGGAGTTATATATAAATAGAATGGGACGAAAGCAACACATTGATTTGTTCAATCTTTACATTTCTCACGAATGAAACAAAATCGAATATGTACAAAGTATAATACAGCTTGCTTAATTGCTTGTTTGTCGTTTCGGCTGGTTGTCTTGTTGGACGAAGGTGAAGAAAGAACACTGCATTATCGCGGATTTTTTACGCATTTATTCTGATATAGAGTTTTTACTGAAATCTTGTATTGTGAAGCCTTGTGGCCTTACTGATATATTTATTGTTTACCTTTATTGTTGAAATCATAGGTTTCTACTGGGAAAGTTGGCCTCCTAAGTCTTAGGGTATAAAAATAAGTAGTCTACCTAAGAACTATAGCCTAAGGAGCGTAAAGTGGCCTAATAATTTCGTCTCGTATGCTTCCAGCGGTCAATTTTTCTGATACCCTGAGGTCTTGGTATAAAAAGAGCTTGGGTGGGTCTTAGCTGATGGATGGCCCCGCGGTCATGGGCCTTGACGGGAGCTAATGTACGACCCAAACTTTAGAGCAACAACATCATCAAAACTTGACTGCATCCAACAAACAAAGAAGATAAAGGAAATCAAGCTCAATTGCCCGAATCGAGGTACGCCTGAAAACTTCCAAGATCACTCGAAAACGAAACACCTAGCGAACACCCACAGACCGAGCCATCATGACACCAGGCGGCGAGAGCCAACCGCTGTCCCTGCGACCGCCTCCTGTCGCCGATCGCAAACCTCGAAACATCGCCGAATTCATTGCGCGAGTTAACGCGCAACCGGGTGGCTTTCGAGCTCTATCAGAAGCTAAACTCAGGGAGGAGATTGCTCAAGAGAATGCGACAAACGGAGACTCCCAAGAGAAAGACGTAGATATGGACGAAGCCGACGAAGACGACGACGAAGAGGATCAGGATGCGACCAGAGATCCCCAAGAAGTGCGCATGGAGATGTTCAAGAACCTTGAGTATGGGAAACCCTTTCTGTCTAGGAGAATTTGATCCTTGATCTCAATTTGCCGTTGAAGCTAACATCTTTCAGCATCGCAGGAAATACGGCCCTCCTTACCCTCGACTTCCTCTCCCTCCTCATTTCGAAGCAGAACCCTACACAAGCCGGCATTACCCTCTCCCAAGGCCTACGCGACATGGTGGGAATCGGTACGATAGGCGCTGATAAGCTCGACAACTCGCCCATTACCCTAGCCAAGGCACAAGAGCAGGAGAATATAGCACTTGGCTTCACGTTGATGCAAACCAACAAGGTACGCGACGCTGCCGAAGCTGCGAGCTCTGTCCTCCAAAAGCAAGTCACGGCCGAGGGAAAGTACTGGGAGGATATCGTCGCCGTCCAAAAGTCGGGGTGGTCTATAACTAGGGTTCCCATGGAGAGGCACACACTGGGTGTTCGATTTGGCTTCTCGGAAGGCAAGTCTCCACCATGAATACCGGCCGCGGTTTTACTAACGCGCTCGATAGCTGCACCTGAATACAGAAATAGCCTTGCACCCATGAGGAGAGGTGCCGACGGGACAGTCCAGCTTGACTGCGGTAAACTGGGAGGAGTTTCGGAGAGAGTCGTGGTGACGTTCGAGAGGGACGGTAAAATTGCTGGTCGCTCTGCTTTACCAGCCGAGACAGCTCTCGATGCCCCCCTTGAAGAGCATGTCCTGGAAGCTCGAAACACCATCTTCTCACAAGAGCTTTGGCATGAGCTTACGCGAGAAGCCCGTACCCTGGCAGCATATGATGTTAAGCCAGCTGGCTCCCGGCTTACCTGCGACATTGATCCAGGGTCCAAGTCAAGAATCATCCTTGAGTTGGTACCACTCGGCACTTATGCTTCGTCAAACGATGGCCTTCCAGACAACCACATCGCTGAGGCGATATCGCTATCTTTACACATTCTCCTGGGTTATGCCCACAGACAAAACGAACTGCTAAGGACACGTCCTATGCCTCCTCATATCCCACGATCTCGAGGCCAGCAAACACATGCCCTTCTTCGCCCTATCATCGCCCGTCTCATGCATTTTAGTAACGTCAGGATTGTTACCCAGCATGTTGGCGACCTTGTCAAGTCGCTACAGCGAGCTGGAATCCTCTCTAATTTCGTTCTCAGCACCCCCAAAATGTCCCCCTCAGATTCAGACACCTCAACTCAAGGACCTAACCAACTCGCGTCTTCGCAGGCCATGATCAAGAATATGCTGAACCATATTGAATTCAACATAAAACTTACCATACTCCCCAACATCACCTGCACTGTTCGTGGCCGCACATTTCAAGTTCCTGTCACAGCGACCCATTACACTGTGATTTTACCGCACAATTCGCCACTATCATCTGTTTGCGCCCCCTACAAAGAAGGATACCCCGACCCCAACGCTTTGGCCGATTATCTCGGCACCGCCGCCACGCGTCTGCTCGTAGAGCACTACCTTTCCAACCTTTCGTCTCCATGGACGCGGAGTATCCAGGGCAACGTCATCCGTAACCGAAGCAGTGAGGAGTTTGAGTTGTCGTTTGCTGTTACAGAGACGTCAGACTTACGTGTGAGAAGCACATCTTTGGTTGACGGTAAGCTGGCGCGCCAGGAATGGACGTGGTCGGACGATGGTGAAAAGGAAAGTGTGCAGGCTATAGTCGATCAAGTGATCCGAAGGATATCATCACAAGATGGGATCTAAACTCCGGGAAACCAGGGCAGGATAGAAGGGACTGTGGTTTGGATTTTTACCAGACATGAGACATTGCCTACGAAGTCCTGGAAGAGTATTTCTTGTCGATGAAAAGAGAGACATGGGCTCACTCAAAGAACTAGACGATGGGTTTCGAGATGCCATCCCGTATGTGCCAACAGTTGGATAGACCTTTGGAACAGAACATACGCAGAAGCACACCCTTACACGTCGTATGCAGCATGGCATACATAATAGAATTTCGTTAGCTAGTTCCTACAGCAAATAATCCCTGCCATGCCTTTCCGCGTTGCCCTACCACCTGAGAGCATCGCGTGTGGACAGCCAGCATTGCTCAGATGCCGTTTACGTCCAAAATCCCCAGAGCTCTCGACATGTTGGCTTCTTGGACTGCAATCAGTCTCCTGGCTTTCCACATCTCTGGGAGAAATGAGAGCCGTGGTAACGATGCTGTCCCCTTCCTCGACTCTAAAAAGATCTCAAGAAAAAAGTTTGCCTTCTTCCACAACATAAAGTAAATCGTCGGCACCTTGCCGACATTCCATTAATGACCATGCTTGTCTAATCGCGAATGTTGAAAAGATTTCTAAGGTCGTTTTCGCTCAGTCTTCCAATGTATGCACCTTGGTTCTCGTCCAGGGCCGCTTCGACCATTTCTTTCTTCTTGTTCTGAAGATCAACAATGCGATCTTCGACCGTTTCCTTTGTCAATATACGGTACACCTTGACTGGCTTCTGCTGGCCGATACGATATGCACGATCGACAGCCTGCATCTCGATGTAAGGGTTCCAGAAAGGGTCCATAATAATTACCCGAGAAGCAGCAGTAAGGTTGAGGCCTGCGTTGCCAGCTTTGAGAGATACCAACATTACTTTGACGTCCTTTCCGTCACGGAAATTGTGAGCGGCGATATTGCGTTGGGTTGCCGACATGGACCCGTCGTAACGTTCGGCTTTGGCCATGTTCTCGCGCCGCATGGCCACCTGTAGAAGATCGAGTAACAGAGTCCATTGAGAGAATATGATGGTCTTCTCTCCGGTAGCTTCGATTTCCCTGAGGAGATTCAAGCACTCCGTCACTTTAGAAGCAGGCTCCCAGGTCTTGCGCAAGTACCTCATGTACTTTTTGTACGCGTCGCGGTTCCTGCAAGCCTCTTTGCGCAGGGTCTTGAGCATCGATGGTCTCACGTCCAGTGCTTTCTCTTTGCCCTTTCCTTTCGCCTTTGCTTTGCGCTTCTTTCTGGTTGGTGCCTCGTCGTCAGAAAGATCGTCGTTAACGATAAAATCCTTGAGGTTGCCTTGCTTATCAACCTCATCGTCAGATTCGTAGTCTGAATCGCTCTCCGAGTCTTCACTCGTGTTAGTTTCCTCAACAACTTCCTCCTCTTTATCAGATTCTTGCTCGATGGTTTCGGGCATGTGCACCTGCTTAAAGACATCGTACGAAAAGCATTTAGTAGGGTCAAAGTGGCCACGACAGACAGGGCACCTAGCCCGGCTGCTTTCGGTCCCTTCCTGTAAGTTGCTTGCGTGAGCACTCTCGGCAATGCGGACAAGGCACTCGCCGCAGCTATCATGCCCGCAAGGAACAAAGAAGCTGGGACATTGAACAGCGTCGTAGCAGATAGGGCACTCGAAGGATTCGATACCCTTGATTCTTTCAACGATGGCTTCATCGAGCTTTTCGACAACCTTTTTTTTCTCCTCGTCAGAGACTGCAGATGGCGCGTCGTCGACGTCGAGGTTGAGATGCGGATGGCAACAAGCTTGACGAAGACGGAGTAGAAGGACAAGAATATTAGAGTAGTTCTTGCTGACGGATCTCTCACGAATATACTTGCTGACCAATACTTGGGCATTCTTTTCCAATTGAGTGTAGAAGTCAAGCTCCTCAGGAGAGAATGTAGCATAAACGATTTCCTCAGTCTTCTCCGGCAGCCTGAGGATGGGTTTGCCATCGAGTAACGAGTTCTTCTTGCGGCGAAGCATGATGGCTTTGAGAAACACTTGCAGTTTCCTCATTGCAGTGCTTTTCGGGTCACCATTGCGGCCGAACAGTCGTCCGAAAGACTAGAGTAGTGAGTGTTAGTGGCGAGTAATCGTCAAGATCAATAATGGCATACCTGACGGAAGTCTTCCCACTTGCAGTAGGGTCTGATTCTGAGAAACTTGACCAGCGAGTAAAGTTCCAAGACACCATTCATCATAGGTGTTCCGGTGAGGCACCATCGGTGAATTGACTTGAGTTGAGTGCATGCCTTGGCAGCTTGTGTCTTCTCGTTCTTGATACACTGCGCTTCATCCAGGATTACGCGGTAAAATTTAGCCTTGGGATGCAGGAGTGGGAAACTGAGGCTAGGAGTTCTGTGATTCCAATCGATTTGATCCTCTTCCTGATTTTCCTCTAGAAACTTGTCAAGACGTTTGAGTTCGTGTGAGAGTGAGCCGTAGGTGGTCAAGACCACGTCTTTTGTGAGCAGCTCGTTTATCGAAGTCCGTTTACCGTGGTGCACATATACCGATAGATGGTGAGATTGTTTGGTTTTGGTGGCGATCTCCTCCTCCCACTGGCGAATGAGAGCGACGGGAGCGACAATCAAGTTTGTCTGTTTGGTCAGTGCTGGGTTTGTTGCTAGGTTTTAAATACGTACCTTGGGTCGAGTCGTCGCTGGGCGAGCCAGAATGAGGGCGAGTGTCGAAATCGTCTTTCCTAACCCCATGTCGTCTGCGAGAATACCGCCCTTGCTTGTACCTGACTCCATCTTCTTCATCCAGGCAAGGGCAATATCCTGGTGAGGATACAGTGGTCTCTTTAATCCGGCCGGAGCCTCCCCTAGACCTGCCTTTGGTAGATCCATGTCGGAAGAGATGTTTGCGAGTAGATTCTCAAGCTCCTTTGCGTCCAATTGAGGCCCTTGAAAAGTGGCATAAGGATCGTGATCAGGATCCTGCATCCATTCTCTGAGCTGAGTAGGCAATGGATTGCCACCGCCATCTACTCCGTTGGTAAGATCGAACCTATTCGTCCGCCCAATAAGCTCGCTCAAAGACGACGGACTTGCAAACGAGCCTGGTACAAATGAAGGAGGAGGTCTGTACGAAAGACCGGGCATGCCGGCCAGATGAGGTGAATGATGAACATCCTGTCTAGTCAAATCTGGATAGCCCATACCCATGCCAGGGAACAGTTGTTCCGCGCGACCTATAGGACGGGGAGCACGAGCAACAGACCCCTCAAAGATAATATCTGGCTCTTCGTTGTTGGTGTTGCGGTACGAAGGGGCTGGCGGAGGTATGTATTGGGGGCCTAGTTGTCTTTGGGGGATTCTAAAAGCTGGACCAGCGGCCGGATCATCCCAGCGTGTATCGTAAGCACCAGGCATACGAGACGGGCTCTCTTCGTCGGGGACTATGGGGCCGGCTGGAAGCTGACTGCCCATTATCCGTGTGAAGGCATTGTTCTGAGGAGACTGTGTTGTCATCTGGTCAGAAGAGTCTTGGCTAGAAAGAAATTTTGCAAACGCTCGGTCCGAGTGTTCTTGTTTTTGCCTCTGCTCGGCCTTGATCTGTTCTGCGATAAAATCATCATCATCCCTAGAATAGTTTTGTTAGCTTGGGAGCTGTTTAAAATGCTGAACAATTTACCCAGTAAGGTCAATGAAGTCAACAGATCCATGATCGAAGCTATTGATGGCCGGCACATCTGAGGTCAAATCCTCGAACGGAGTAGGAGAGAACCGGCGAGATTTTGCTTGATTCTCGTGGGTAGATAGATGAGCTGAGTCGGCTCCCCTTTTCCGGCTCGGCAAGGCGTAGGAGATGTTCCCATACTCCGTAGCAGGATTCATGACGCGAGCTGTATCTCGTTGTCGCCCACCTGGAGAAAAATCAGCCCAAAGCTTAGAGAGGTTTCACACAGAGAGAGCAAGAGTTGTAGAAAATTGAGTGAGTGTATTCCTGCTAAATACATGTGGTGTTCTTTGTCAAAGAGCAGGCAACCATGTTTGGATGAAACACAACAGTGAATCACAGCAAGACCGAAAGAGCTGCAAACATCTGGTGTTGGGGTGACAGATCTTGGGTTTAAGACAACCTTTTGCATAGGGTTCGAACAAAATCATGATAAGAATACATACCTGAACTGGAGGATACACTCGAAGAACCTTTCGGCGCATGGGTTTTTTGAAGGACTTCACTGGCTGGGGGAAAATTAGTTCATTTACAAAGAAGAGATGGTGCCCAACATATGCTTGTGGACGATACATACGTATTTTTGATTGTTTTTTCTGTCTCAAATCTCGAAGTTGCTTTTTAAGGCGAGAAATCTCCTCACGGGCATCTTGTCGCATTTCCTCCGCTCCGTCGTAGTCGGCACCATCAAGGGAATCAAGCACGACAGTTTGCACGGTTAACTCCTCCTGGACCTGAATCTCTTCCACACTCATGGAGGCGGCGTCCTCGTCGGCCATCTTAGGCTGTAGCCTGCAGGAAGGCGAACGAGACAGTGTACAAGCGCAGTATCATCCGAGAGGCTCTCGGTCAGCGACAGCAGCAGGCTACAGGGGGCAAGGGGCTGGCCATCAAGATTTGGGTACACAAGGCGACTTGAGTGGCTGACCACGCTCGATACTGTAGTCTGCAGATATGCGCATTCACAGGGGACGTCTACTGCTTTGGGTGATACGCGCGAAGGGCAAAAACGCTCGAATTGCTGACCATGCAATGCTGCGAAGCAAATTGAAGTCTGGTATGCGGCAGTTGGAGGCTGGTATGCGGGCAGTTGATAGATGTAAGGTTTATTGTTCAGGGTTAATTGTAGCCTGTGACTGTTAAGTCTTTGAGTGAGTGCATGGAGTGTACCCGACAGTATGGACGGAGCTATGCCGCGTCACGCGTATTCACAGTGGGAAAATTGCACTAATGCAGGCAGCAGCAGCATATTGTAGTGGAGGGCAAAGATTGCCCCCTGGGCAGGTAGGCTATATCATTTTAGCCAGGGGGATCAAGAAGATGCATTTGACTGCTGAGAGTATAAGAGAATAAATTACCAAGTCAGTTATATGCTATTTTAGATGGGCGTTTAGAATACTTATTTTGTGCACCATTGGTTACTTAAAGGTTATTTTTTTAACACTACCTAGGTTAGTTCCATCGGTCGGTCTCCACATTGAATTGCCTACTTCTGTCATGAAATCATCGATAAAATCAGTACTATGATTCGCAAGGACATCCGTAGTCTGGAGTTCAATAAACAATTCGTTAGCTGTAAAAGAGGCAGTCAGTGAATCAATTAATAAACACAGCAAATTCCATTTATTTTCCCCCGGCAAGGCATAGATTTATCTACGTATTAGGTAAACAGTGATACCATATCTTCAAAGTTCCGATCGTCGGGTGTAAGTAAATTCAAGGCCTTACTTAACTCTCGTAGCCTTTTAACCTATGTCCTTATCATTGATAAGAGCTCGAATTCAAATTAGGAATGGACTTGTTGGCTGAGAATTCAAAGATTACTCAGAACTCACAATGTCTTGGAACAACAATGCTACGTGGCAGTAATGTATAGGGATATGCGGGTGGAAGTGCAATACAAATGCAGATGACAGGCTACACCATCCATCATTCGACCAATCTCAAAAGTACATAATTGAGTGCTAGTTGGTATTGTAATAGTGACAGCATAGATTGTAACCATGCCATTTTGGCCGATCGATGGCCCTTCCTTAGACATTCTCTTAGTGGTGGTGACTGGTTGGGTTAATATCTGGTTGGCATTGAGACTTGCTGCTGAATCCCATTCTTCTCAGCGGTATGCAACAATAAGCATGGCAGATCGACCCACTTTCAACCAGGAAAATGCATGAGTAGACCGTTCATGGTAAGAATAAACCGATATCATTTACACCAATTCTGCCTAATGATTCACAAAGCCATCCAAGCCCTGCATGATATCAAACGCCCCACGAGTCAGCCTTAGACTCATCATCCGTTTCAAACGCCATGTAAATCCCATAAAGCCAATAATATACCACGCACTAAAACATCTAGTCATCACTAGTAATCTTGTGCCAGACCTTCTCCACCTTGTGGGCGAACCAGTCCCAGATACCTTTATCCATGTCATCATCATCATCGTCACTATCACTATCACTATCGCTGTCCTCATCTTTGTCGTCGCTTCCCTTGGATGGAGCTGGTGACTTGGATGGCTTTGCTGGTTTCTTAAGTGAGACTGTGGTTTTGGCAGATTGCGTAGGGGCGACAGGCACTGTCGGCCGTTGAGGCTGAGTAGGTTTCTGGTGGACAGTAGGGCGCACAGGTTGAGTTGGCTTCTCTGGCACAGTTGGTCGAGCCGACTCCTTGGTAGCGGATGGGGGATCTTCTGGTTCTTCAGATGTATCTTCAGGCTCGTGGACACCAATAGGCTTCAGTGGGAGCCGCAGTGTTCCGTTGTTGGGAGCGGGTGTCAGGCCAACAGAGTCACACAGCATGTTGTACACCTCGATATTTTCTGTCAAAAATTAGTGGCATGAACACGCTTTTTGGCAGGAATTAAGACTTACGAAAAACATCAATTTGGCTATTGGCCGGGTGGGGGAATGCTGGGCCGCGAGCGATGAAGATAGCCCGCATCAACGGGTGCTCGTGATCATATCCATGAAGACCTCGAGGATGGTAGACAAGGTTTTTTTTCTTTCCATCTTCAACATCAAACTCCTCCTTGGTCACGATAGCCCATCCTGTTTCGGGAACAACCCAGAGGGGAGCAATGCGATGGTGCTTGGAGAAGTGGTATCGCTCGGGCATGTCGACATCCCGGAGATAGACCTGGAAGTTGGGGTTTGATTTAGACTTCTCCTTTAGCTCATTGTAGAGCCCTTGTAAGTCATCCGGGTTTTTGGGTCGAAGACCATACAATGGCCAGCCGTCAATATGCTCGATCTTGTTTGTATCAATGAGGTCCTCGAGTTGAATGAGGCGTGAGATGTCAGTTGACGCCATGCCGTGATCTGAAACAACGATTACATTGACAATATTTGTCAAGTTGCGTTCTTCAAGACCGTGGAAAATCTTTCCTATCATACCGTCGACATCTTGAATTGTTTTGCGAATCTCGGTGGTATTGGGCCCAAACTTATGGCCATCACGGTCAACATGAGGTACGTAGGCGGCAATCAGTTGAGGTCGCACATCGCTCGCATCCAGAGTCTTGTCTTCAAACCCAGGCAGATCCAGAAATTCCATAATCCTTGAGACCTTGTTGTCGAGCGTCTCCTTGCCATTGAATTTATCCATCAAACTTGGCTCGGTATGAAGAACATGCGCTTCACTCCCCGGCCACATGTGAATGGCACTTCGGATTCCTTGTCTCTCTGCTGTCACCCAGAAAGGCTCTCCTCCCCACCATTTTGGGTCCAGACTCTGATCCGGATGGGTGTAATAGAATTGTGATTGAAGTTCGGGATCCCAGAATGTATTGCTAATGATACCATGGCTCTCAGGATACAGGCCGGTCGCCAGAGTGTAATGGTTTGGGAAAGTGACTGATGGGAAAGACGGATGCATCCATTTTGGCGATACACCCTCAGCAACAAACGAGTTCAGTGCGGGTGTAAGCCCCCTCTGGAGAAAGTCGGCGCGGAAACCGTCCAGACTGATGATAAGAGATGTCGGCGCAAATAGGGCGGTTCCATTGCTAACCAATATCTGATTCACTTTCATATTTCTGCTCTTGCGATTCTTGGAAAGCTTCCAGGCCAAGAGAAGCAAGATAGCAAATCCAATGGCAATAAGTGAATGGATAAAGACCCACCGGCGCCAGCTGCGACGTCGCTGGGTCTTCGCTTCGGCAATCAGATTGAGGTGGTGTCGATCAAGTTCATCGCTATCGTCCCTCTCGCTGCTTTCGCCCGTTGAGCTTCCCTCCTTCATGCCTCCCTCTTCCATCTCGTACATCAATTCGCCGTCTTCTCCGTGCTCCGCATGCTCCACAAGATTCTCGCGCTTCTTTTGTCTTCGCTGGCGTCGAGTCTTTCGCTTTTCAGTCACGAGATTTTCTGTTGAGCTGTTGACGGAACGGTTTCCTGAACTGCTTCCTCGGCGCCCAAACATTTTCCCTATATTGGGCACAGCTAACCCCGAGCCACGTCGCTCTCGATCTTTCTTTTGCCGCGAATCTGTCACGAGCCGATCGATATCTTCTTCTTCCATTAATACGATGCGATCATGGGCGCGCAGTTCTCTGCTGTTTCTCGCGCGCGAGATAAGCTCGTCATCGTCGGTATCGGTATCCTGGTCGCTGCGGGAATGAAGTGAAGAAGCATCATCGTCGTATGCGATCGGGGAGAGGAACGAGGCGTTATCACGATCCGCCTGGGAAGGCGCAATATTTAGATTTGATGGCGGCATGATTTTGTAACGTCAAAATGTTCATGAGGAACATAAAGTGTCCTCACAACTACGACGTTGCGGCTGTAGCATTTATTAAGGAATTCTATTTAAGGGGACGTAAGACATGGATAGTTAGACCCTTGAAAGCCTACCACTGTGCTAGTACTATTCAGTACAGCATCTTGAATGCCGCCCACGAATAAGACTGGGGGCTAACTTCGGTTGGGCTCCGCATTCATCCACTTCCGAACGACGATGCTTATGAATGGTGCGATCTCATTTATTCGGTAGTTTAATGGGTTGACGTTTGGTTTGGGAGATGCAAGGGATTGAACAGGAACAACATCCCTCAAAGACTCACTATATTGAGTGAGGTAGCAGGTACTCATCAGCAAACGAAAGCAGCCGCACTGTACCAGTCAAACAGAACAAGCTTAAAAAGTCAGAATCCGAGATATCAGTCAGTTCTTCTTGCACGCAGAAATCCGGCTCATCCCAGCGTGCATTGATTGTTGTTACTTACTACTAGTTAACGGAAAATATCAATCACTCTGAAACTCCATTTGGAGTGAGTGTAACACTAAAAATGAAACACATTCGACGCTCAGTGGAGCTGACCGAGGCAAAAGAAAAGTCTTTGCGGTTTATGTGGATCGAACACATGACCTTCAGATATCGTAATGATTGAAGTTTGGCTTCAGTCTGACGCTCTCCCAACTGAGCTAAACCCGCTGTTGCTTATAAGTATACGCTGTAATACAGACCAAGTGCAGCAGAATCTGTGCGAAGAGCAGCCATCGCTGGAGAATAATATGTTCGATGGTTGAAAATGGTATATTTTCTATATTGGTTAAGCAGTGGTAAAAGCAGGATGGTTTGAGCTATCCTTAAATCACACAAACTTCATTTCTAGTATCTACAACTTTCCTCCCCTGCTCGCAAACCACCCTTCGGCCTCATCTTGTCCCAGGAGACTCGATATCATAATCTTGCCAAAGACATCAATATCATCCGCTTGCGCCTCAGTCAGAACTTCCGAAAAGATGGCATTCGTCACAACAAAATGATTTTTGTCCCTCCAAGCTTCGGCAAAACTTAACGGCGTCGTCGCATTCCACAAATGCGCCGACAACGTCCAAGCGTGACACAAACCAAGCCTACCATCGCACTGCAGTATTTTACAGCCAGCCATAATGCGATATGCCTGGACAAAATAGAAAGAAAATAGTAGTGTGCGACGTAGAGACTCCTGTAGAATCCAGTCTTGCCAAAATGCCTTCGTTGGCGCTACTGGATATGTAGGAAGGGTTATGGCCGTTGCGTCTATGTCGAATTGCGCATAAGAGAAAAGCGATACTGCAGAGGATTCTATAGTTGGGATGATACGCTCTGCTGATGCACGAGCCCCGATATCGCCATCATATAGCCGAATAATTTGGTAAAGAATAAGAGCTTGCGTATGTGCCAGACATTCCAATGGAGTTATTGGTGCCGGCGCTGCAAGGAGGTCGTTGACGCGAGATTCTATACTACGAAATATGATCGGAGAGTTCACTCGATTCTTGGCCATGTACAGAGCACAGGAAGAATGAGCATCTAGACTGGAATTAGTATGAGTGAATAGTATACATAGGAGCTTTGGTCTATTACCTTGTATCGACCTAGGCATTCCATCTTTGTAAAGGAGTGGATGGGACCAAGGAGTTTGGTTTTCAAGAACCATCTTCTCAGGAGATCGCTTTATTTCATCAACAGCCCATTGGAGACGATTCAAAATGCGCTCGGGAACATGCGAAAAGTCTTTTGTCGAAGGTGCAGTTAATGTCCATGGCTGTTCAATAAATTTCAACGTATTGTCCTCCAATGGAAACTCGAGTACTCCAGGATCGCCAGAGCATGCATCAAGTCCCGAAATAAGGGCATTGAAATCTTCGATTATTGGGGCATCGCTTGATAGACTCTCTGTTATTTGAGGAGACGAGTCGTCAGTGGCAAGGCAGTCAGGAGATACGGCCACCACCGATGCTTCCGATGAAGACACAGGCTGCTCTCTCATTACTCGGGTCGGGTACTGGCAGTGGATGTGTCTTTGTGAACACCGAAGACATGCTGGCATGGCAAAATCACAACGCCGCTTAGCCTTGGTGCAGGCGGCGCAGGATTTCCGCCGAGTTGGCGGATTGCGGCGTTCACGCGCGGTGAGAGACATGATAGTCACGGTTCCCTGCCTCAATGAGTCAAATTGTGGGAAATGAGGCAGTGAAGATTGAGAATAATGATGTGACTTGATAACAGTAGGATAAAGAAGGGAAAGCCTGAATCCAACCACTCACTTAGGGCGATGTAAGATGCGCCGGGAAAAATGGGGCTTGGCGGAACTCCGCCCGGCTCAAGACAGTCGGAGTCGGGAGTTTTACGGACGATGATAGCGGATCTCCGGCGACGGAGTTGGGTATTCCGCATACGGGGGATAATACTGTTCTCATTATTTATGATGCCGTATATAATGATTCAAAAATTGCTTCACAATGGATTAGCATCAGACTCCCTTTAACTTGCACAATCACTCACGACACATTCTTGGGAAATACAATCAATCTAAACACGAATCTCATTCATCTTCAAAATGTACACACCTAAAGTTTTCGTCAGTGGAGCTACAGGCTGCCAGGGAGGTGCAGTCGCCCGCTACCTTCGATCCAAAAGCGTTTCTGTACACGCTCTCGCCCGTAACCCAACCTCAGCGAAGGCTGAAGAGCTCAAGGCTATTGGTGTCAAACTCACACCGGGTGACTATGACAACAAGGCCGCGCTGGAGGAAGCCATGAAAGGCTGCACCTCTCTCTTCCTGGTCCTCATGCCTGATTTCACCGATCTTACTGCAGAAAGGCGATGGGCTACCAACATTTTCCTCGCTGCCAATGCAGCTGGCGTTAAGCATGCCATTTACTCAAGCGGGTTCAGCGCCGATGACCCAGACAGTTTGACAGTCCTGGAAAGAGGAGGTTTCGCGGACATAGTCATGCGTAACAAGAATGCCATTGAGGAACAAACTCGCAGCTCAGGCTTCGATTACTGGACTATCCTGCGTCCTGGATTCTTCATGGCCAACTTTGTTGAACCATTCGTCAGAATGTATCCTGACCTCATCGAAAAGGGGGTTTGGATAACCGCCCTCAAACCTACTACTATCATACCCCTAACTGATACTATAACTATCGGCAGGTTCGGCGGCGAAGCATTTTCGAACCTAGAGCGATTCCACGAAAAGGAGATCACGTATGCTGATGACTGGCTTGACGCAGAGACCATCCTAGGCAAGCTCTCTGGTGCGGTAGGCAAGGAACTCAAAGCCGAATACCTTTCGGATGAGGAGATTGAGAAACAGAAACCGACCAATCCGTTTATATCTGGTCAACTCTGCATGCGAGATATGGCCAAACTAGCGACAAAAGAAGCTACTGAAGAATGGGGCATCCCGTTGAGTACATTTGATGAGTTTTTGCAAAGAGAGAAAGTGGCCGTCCACGAGACTTACCACATATCTAGTTAGATTGGTAATTCAGAGGTAGCTAGGGAAGGAAGATAGGGCAAATATTTGTGCTTCGTATTGAGAGTTTGTGTGATGCTGCTCTGCCCTTGTACACGGAAACCTTGTTTTATATGAGGGTCTCTAGTCCAGCTTGTATATACAATTCTTAAAGCCCAGCCGCGGGCTGTCATCCAAGATGCGCCGTTATCGCCATAACGCCCCATAACGTAGAAAACGTCCACCGTGATCTTGATTGACGGTGTATCCGTACGAAAGTCATAAATCTCAAATACTCTTCTTACCGCTGATCATCCAACACCGAGTAATAAATCTGCTACTTCAACAGTCTCAAAAGGACCTGGCTCGGCATCTCCAAATGTTTATAAGTCTTTCCTGCCGAGTTCATCAAGAAGTTGTATCGGTGCTTCTGTTCATTATCCTCGAGCCTGAAGATCTGAAGCAGAAAGGGGATAAATCCTGTTAGCATCATATGTAGCACTTGCTCTCGCTGCGTGCTGTGGCCAACCCAATGGCATGCTAGATACTCGACGGTGTGCATAACCTTGACCGTTAGGAGCACCTCCATACATCATCATATCATCGGCAGCGCGCCTAAAGCTGCTCTCTTGGGAACTGTCATTATTTTGGAACACTGCGGTATTCTTCTCGTCGATACCTTTGTGTTTCTGAGCGCCCAATGCTGCCGTGGCTGATGTTCCAAAGTTTCGAACTTGATCGATTGGGCCCCTGTCCGAAGTCTCATCCAAGAAGACCCATAGCATGAGGGCAAGAAGGCCAGTGATAACCAAAGCGGTGAGGATAGCAGCTCCAGCTTTATCGCCTGCAGGAAGAGGGTCGTACGACAAATCGGGGATTGTTCGTCCAATATCTGCGGAACCGCCACCAGGATTAGGCTTGCTTGTTCCTCCAGTGTTCTTCGTTAATGGAGCAGGTCGATCTTGAATCATGCAAGCAAGTGTGACTTCCAATGCCGCCATCTGCTGACCAACGGTAACATCACCTTCGAATCTGTTCTTGTTCCAGTAAAGACTACACATTCGTCCATTCTCACCTCCGGTGCATACATCGTTGGCTGCGACGGCCGAGGCGCGTAAAAGGGGCATGATGAAGTCGTGAGTGTAAGGTGCCCATTGAGTAGTAACGGCCAGCCAGCGGCTTAGATATGCCTTGAATGACTTCTGGTCCAGATTGCAGAGCTTTACAGACTCACATGCGACTTCTGTCATGATGTTTTTCTGGGGCCCTGTGAAGAAAACCTTGACACCTTCAAGGAGGCTGTCCAGGCGATCTTTCCAGACCTGACTTTCTGTATGATTGTACATGGCAGCAGCGCCAAGAATCATACCGCCCGCATTGTAGGAGAACTGGTAAGGTACCAATTTGGTACAATTGTTGTAGATGTGAGCACCATCGTAAACATACCAAGTCTTTGGGTCAATGAATTCGGTCCCGATCATCCAGTCCCAGGTTTTGTCGGCCCAATCGGCATAGCTGTTATTGCCAGTGAAAAGAGCCAGACGCGCGCCCAAGGCGAAGAAGCAAGCCTGGGAAATTGAGTTTTTGTAATCGTAACCTTTATTCCACTGTCACTGTTTGTTAGCCTTTGTGTGCACGTTCCGATTGCTGTGAGTGTTTGGGGATGGGAGACAAGTAGTAAGTAACAGAGGGGATCGAAACACTGAACAATATGAGCAACTAACCTCAAAGATCTGCCATTTCAGCCCGCCGTTGCAGTGCTCTGTGTCCCAGCGAGCAGCTTGGGTGTTGAAAACAGCTTGAGCAAGTCCAAGCCATTGTGGCTCATCAGGTTCGGGATGAGGGAAGTTGTACTCGGCAGCAGACATGACGGTGAGTGCCCAGAAACCCTGGTCGTCATTTCCTTCGGTTCTTGTCTGGTTGATAGGCATGTAATCATCATGGTCGCCGACCTGGAATAAGAGTGCCTGCTTAGTGAGATTGACATATTGGTCATCGCCAGTATATGCCCAATAGTCAACAAGTGTTCCCATAAAGGCTCCAGCATACCACCCTTGGGTATCAAAATTAGCATATGTGAATGAGGTAGACCTGTGTAATTCATACAGTAATAAGGTTCAGGTAGTAAACCAGGCGTTCCGCCGGGCTCATGCCCATGGTACATAGCAACCATGTCTTTGGCGATTGACTTGGAAATGGATTTGACAGAGGCTGTTTCGAATGTTAGTATTGAGTGAATGCCGAGGAAAAGTAGCCTGGGCATTGTTTCACAGCATAACTTACTCGTCGAATTAGGATCTAATTTGTAGGCCATGGTGAAAGGATTCAGCGCCAGTAGAATAATAGCTATGACGCTATTTGCGCCGGGCCTCACCCCATGTGATCTTGAGGTAAAACGCATGTCGACGATGAGATCAGAAACGACGACTGGTATGCGAGTCGAACTTCATGAGAGGATGAGATTTACGACAAAAGGCAAAAAAGAAAACGGGACAAGACAAGACGAAGGATGACGGCGAGAAGTGGAGAGGCCGGCGTGAGCAGAGGATAAATTGAGTGGAAAAAGGCAGGTAAGTCTAGTATCCAAGAAGGGAAGGAACAGGGGCAGAGGGGTCAGATTGAGGGAGGCGGGAAGAGCTAAAGCAAGTTTAGGTGCATCCTGCACTGTAGCCAATATATGCTTACTTAGAGAGGGAGGTACCTATTCTGATGGATAGAACTTTAAAAAGGGAAAAGTTGGAGGTCGGGTGATGACAAGGGAAGAAGACCAATCAATCATTATGTGAATATGAAGACGTTGAAATGAAAGAAAGGTCAGACACAAGCTTGTAAAAGAGCGTACTACCTAACCTCATAGGTAGTGACAGTAAATGGCTCGTTCGTGTAGCAACACACACCTAACTAGGATGGATTACAGCTTACAGTATAGGTACCTACTACTCGAGATCGATCGTCCAGTCTAAGCCGCAGTCATGTATACTACAAAGTCCCATACGAAGCTCTTTTCGGTTCCAGTACTACCATCTATTCAGATGCTGCAATTGTTGTCCAACAAGTGAGTTTGATGTCTTGTTTCAATTTGACTATGGGTATCATCTGATGAATGCAGCTTCGGTATAGCAGATGACTTGAGACAGTTTGGATGCGGAAACATTACATCGTGATGTGATGCTTATGTACATGGATAGTGGATATGTTTCCCCTCAATTCCTGGGGCTCGCTCCTTTGACCTTCTGTGGGGATTTCCCAATACGACGGGACAAACAGAACCTGGTAGTCCGAGGTAGGAAAGGAAAGGAAAGTGCCAAACCGAGACAGGATAAGCTTAACTCGTACCTGAATGGCATGCAATGATGGGTATCCATTATTACGAACAGTAGACTGTCTCGGAAATTCGGCAGCATTGATAACGAATAAAGAGACAGTCACTGCTTAAATCCATCACCATATAAACATCCATAGCCTTTGTCATGATCATGACCAATCGTTACAAAGAGACCCCAGCGCCCAGTTCCTCGGCGAAATCCTTATATCCACGTGCCAAGCTTGCCAAGCCATTAATTACCTGAGCTTAAGCCCAGATATTTGTCAATGACGTCGTTGTTGATTTGACGTGAGCTTCAATCAGTTTTTACAAACAATTGTTGATAGTCTAAATAACATGCGCCAGCTTCTCATAC